GAGTAGGGTGGTTGGGACGGCACAGGAAGAGCTGTGCAGCTTGGTACGTCCCAAATGGGATTTCTTGCACACCACAATCCCATCGCGCTATGTAGCCATGACCACGCTTCATCCCCTGTTGCCCTCCCTGCCCTCTCCCCCCCCCCAGTTCCTCAGGACCGCCATGTACCGCTTCAACGGGGTGGTGCGCGGCCTGGAGTGACGGCCCAGGCCCGGGCGGGAATAAGTCTCAGCTGTTTCGGGGGCCAGCTAAGTTATGTGCCTGCACAGCAAGTGTGTGCGGTTCACCAGGCCAGACAACCTGGTCGAGAGTCAGCCACCATGAGGCTGCCTGGAATATGGCCCCACCTGTGTGGCCCCTCCTCCTCTGACGTACCCACCTACCCTTCCCCCTCTCACCCCCTACCTCCCCAACTCAACCCGCCCCCTACGCCACCCCACCATGCCAGGACCCCATCGAGCCCAACCTGGAGTTTGTGCAGCAGGTGGTCAAAGTCACGGAGGGCGGCAAGGGCGTCATCTTCGCCTGCGAGGTGCGTGGCACGCAGGGGGGTGCATGTCAATCAGGACACCGGACAGAGCCCCGCTGTGGAGTGCAGGCGGAGTTGGCACGAGGTTGCTTGGGTGCTGTTTGCACAGGGACAGACTGCCAACACACTCGCGGCACAGGTGTGTGCAGCCCTCCAGGCACTAAAAGTCAGCGCCCCCCCCCCATCCATGAAAATGTTGGTCAGGCTGGTGGCACTCTGCGGCCGTCCATCAACTTCCCGGCGGGCAAGGCCAGCCGTTCTCTGCAGGTGCGGAGAGTCGCCGTGCTAAAGGCACGAACGTGTTGGGCATCAGATATGGGGCTATCTGGCCGCAGCATGCCAGCAGCTGATCAGCACAACGCCACTGGTGCAACCACAGCCACCACTGCTCGTGTTTGTCCACATACCTCTCCCAAATATCACGATATCCCAACACACACCTCAAAACCTTTCCACACACCTCTGCCCGCACTCATGCACGCACATTTTTAACTGTGCCACAACTCTCCCACCCCCCCCCCCCCCTCTTTAGGCCGTGTACAAGGCGCTGGTGGAGGGGGGGCCCTCCAGGGTGAAGCACCTGGACCGCGGCGTGTACGGCTGGTTCCAGGTGGGAGGGCATTGGGGTCGGCGTGGGGACGAGGGGAAGGCAGACAGAGGGATAACCAGCCAGCTGTGAGTGCACCCAGCTTCTTGCATGTCTAGAGAGATCTGTGGGGTTGCACCTGGCAAATGAACAATCCGCCACACGCCTGGCGGTGGATTGAGTATGTTTCTTACCACCTGGTGCCCTACAGCAAATCAATGGCTCTATATGATCTGCTCCCCGCATGCTGTGCGTGCAGGCGGGCCTGCCGTTTGATGGGAGCTACGTCCCCGACATCGGCCGCTTGCCCAGCGCTGCCGACAACAAGTAGTGAGGTCGCCTGGCACTTTGGCCCCTGCACTGTGAGGAGGTGCTGCGGGCCCCACCATCACGACTTGGTAGAAGTTTGTCAACACCACAAAAAAACGGGGAGGGGCTTTCAATCAACCCCTGCTTGCCACATGGGGCTAGGCAGGAGCAGTGTTTTTGACTAGAGTTGAACATGTGATTATCCTGCCTGTACACCACCACACACCCCTGTACACACACCTCCATGTCACAAATGCTCACTATTCATGTAAAAGCTATGTGATTTTGCAATCCTCGAAGTTCAAGGTGATGCGGGCGGCATGGTGTGATTTGATGCAGCAAAGAGCAGCCGGGATCTTGCTGCAACACTCAACTGTCATCTTGCCCCGGCTCTCGCGTCAATTTCCGCCAATGACTGACAGGTGCCTGCCTGATGAGAGTGCATTGGTGGTGTGGAGTTGCAATGGCTTACCTCTGTAGGCTAAATGCGGCAGCAGTGGGGCACCTGCAGAGGGGCTCTATTTCCAGACTGAAACCGGAGCGGGCCCCTGCTGCTATGATGCAGGAGCACCAAACGATCTTGACCAGCATCCTGGTGGTTTGTCGCTGCTAAACACGTGCGCTATCATACCAGTGTAAATGATGGTCGGGGGGGTATACTTCTGGTAATTACGTGTAACGTTTCGCATGCACGGTGTAAACAGCGCGTTCAGATCTCATAGATCACGTTTCGCCGACACAGATGGGCAATATAGCCGCGCTGCTGTTGCTAAAAAGCCTTTCAAGGGAGCTGACAGGTTTTTCGTACATCACGCTTGTCGCTCAACAAAGGCGGTCGACGCCTCTGTGACTGCAGCGATGGCAGTCGGTGACACAGGCGTTGCTGCTTGCTGACGCGTGCCCTTTGCACCCGTTTATACGCAGCCATAGATTTGGGCGGGCGTGTGGATGAGGTACAGGACCTCATTGACCCAATCACATTCCTCAGGTATGGTGTTGCTGCTGTCTGGCGCGCCTCGCCAGTCCTTGGTGACATCTCGGTGTGCAGCTGTCCTGAGTGGTAGCATCAGTGCTGTAAAAGCAGGCCTGCCCTTGCTCCTCACGCGTCGCGCCCCCTCTCCCCCCCCCCTGGGGCAGGGAGTACGTGGGTCCAAACAAGCCCCTCATAATTCGCGGTGGTGTTGCCCACTGGCCGGCGCTGCGGCGCTGGACGCGCCCCTACCTGGCCGATCTGGCAGGGCCCTCCCCAGTGTCCGTCGATGTCACGCCAAACGGCCGCGGCGATGCTGTGACACCCTACGGTGCAGGGAGCGCAAGTCTAATTCCATAATTGCTTGCCAAGTACCAACCTGCAGCATTGGCACCTAGCTTCTGACGGGGCAAACGCTTTCATGTTGGCTAGTTGCAGATAGCGCGCAGCTTACCACCCGGTTTCTGACACTCCTGCCCCTGGCACGTGTGAACCCTCACAGTGGCCTCTGATGGATCGACTCAGCTGTGCTTTTGCACACCCCACCAGAGACGCATGACCCTTGGGCAGTTCTTCGAGCTATTTTTTGCCAGCCGGGCGGCAGGGCAGGAGGAAGCGGCTGATGCCAGCAGGGACAGGCTTGTTGAGCCGCAGGGGGATGGCGATGCAGGGCAGGTCGAGGCCCGAGAGGAGCGGGTCAAAGACCACAGACAGCAGCAGCAGCAGCAGCAGCAGCAGCAGCAGCAGCAGCTTGAAGACGGGCACGAGCAGGAACAGCAAGGGCGGGGCCCCCATTGCGAGGTGCCGTACCTTCAGCACCAGAACAGGTGGCTCTCGCCGCCAGCTTTGGTTGTGCTGGGTTGACCTGCGTGCACGCATGTATCCCAACCACCTGCTCCCTGGGCGTCTGCGCTTGCCTTGTGACCAAGGCTCAGTCCTACTCTCCCCTGAAACACCGCCATCGATCCCAATGCCGCTGGCCTCCAGCAATCTCACAGAGGAGCTGCCCATGCTGCTGCCAGACGTGGAGGAGCAGCTGCCCTGGGCTGCAGAGGCCTTTGAGGCGGCCCCTGACGCCGTCAACGTGTGGATAGGCGACCAGCGGGCTGCCACCACATTCCACAAGGCGAGTGACATGAGACCGCAGTGGGAGGGGATTAATAGAGCTGTGTGCGCCCACCTTCAGGGTGGCAGGTGCAGCTCATCAGGTGGCCAGCTCACCAGCGCATCCGTGTGCAGCGCTCACCACCACTTGCTCACACCAACCCCCCTATCCCCCCCAGGACGGGTACGAGAATTTGTACTGCATGGTGGCCGGGACAAAGGTGAGGAGGCAGACGTTGAGAGAGTGTGCAGAGGCCAGCAGCACCTCAAGTTCTGAGACCTAGGAGGCAGACAAGGGCCACTGCTAGCACACTGCGGGAACGGGTGATGACGCGTCACATCCGGAATCCACACCCACAAAGCATCCTGCCGTGTCGCCACCACCCTTCCCTGCAGGTCTTCCATCTCCTGCCGCCCTGCGACGCCTACCGCCTCGCACTCGCGTCGTTGCCGACCGCCTCGTTTCAGCCCCAGGGCCAGGGCCACGCCCTGGTGCCTGTGCTGGAGGAGGGGGGTGGCAGGGTCACCTGGAGCCCCGTCGACCCTGAGCCCAGGGGTGGGTGCTGATGCAGTTGCGTGTTAACCAGGCTGAGGTCCTGAGCAGATTGCGAGCAAAACCACACGTGCGATACACACGCGCCAGTTCCCCCGCACCTGCACCTGCACCTGCACCAGGCGCGTCTCACACAGCCCTCACACATTTCCGCGGTTCACCTTCCTGCCTTAGACCTTGCCGAAGCACGGCTGCGACACCCTCTCTTCTTCGACCCCTCCCTGCCGCCACCCCTGGTGGCTGAGATCGGGCCCGGCGACATCCTGTACCTCCCCAGCCTCTGGTGGGGTGACGGGTGCTCTTGGCCAACAGATCGCTGCTGGAGTGTGCGGGGCTGGTGGTCGTGCATGCTGGGGCATGCTGCAACTGTTGCCTGGCGTGCAACTGAAGTCAATGCGTTGATGTGGGCATCATGCACCCTGCCATTGTTTGCCTCAACACGCGCAATCTGCTGCTGATTTCCTGGGGCCCCTGCCAGGTACCACTTCGTGGCACAACGCGCAGACCCGGGTCCCAGGGGATGGGTGGTGGCTGTGAATTATTGGTACGATATGCACTACGGCCAGGCATATGCCTACTGGAAGGTGGGCGGAATGAATATCATAAGGGGCGACAGCAGGCGGAGCAATGGGATTTTGAGAAAGCACCACAAGAAGCAAGCAGGCAAAATGCCTGGGCTTGCTGGCGCACCTTGTCAGGTGGGTTTAATCCCGACAAGTGCAAGTTGCTGCTCGCTCTTTCTGACGTGATGCTGCCTCACCCCCTCCTCTGCGAGGGCAGCTGGCGGAAGCCCTGGCGGCGGAGGGGGGCCTGGTGCCTCGCCCGCCCTCTGACCCAGTGGAAGCTGATGATTCCTTGCGCAACGCCGAGCGTGTGAAAGATAGCAGCAGCAGCCGCAGCAGCCGTAGCAGTAGCACCAGCACCAGCAGCAGCGGCGGCGGCGGCGGCGAAGACGACGGCGGCGGCGAGGGCGCGGGCGGAAACAAGTAGAAGATGGGATTGTTTGCAGAGCTCCGAGCCTACACGCTGCTATCATATCCTTGTCAACCAATACAAAATCACGCTTACGATAATCGCCGTCATTTGCCAAATAAGTCATGTAAAACAAAATGCTGGTCCTAACCATTCCACCTGACTGCAGTGTGGTTGGCTGCGGACGCACTGAGGCTGGAAGTGCTTTGTCTGTTCCAAGGACACCCCAGCCGTTGTAAGGGGCATCACCCTCCATGTCCACCTGCCGTGTGCCACCTCAATGGCCAACAACTTGGTCAGGCGATCGGAGCTGATCCGGACTCAATCAAGTCAATGCAGCACCAGGCATGCAAACCCACGTGCAAGAGTGATAGGTTTCCAGCCACAGCTTCGGCCAACGCGGCTTGAATCCTCCCGCACAACCACCTGCCACATGTCGCGGCGCGTCACCACCTGCCGCACCTCCGGCCGCATCACGAGCACCACAGATCACCGCCCCAGGCCATACTTTGCCAGCAGCCGCGCCTCAAACTCGTCCTCCTCCTCTTCCTCCTCGCTGCTGAGCGGCGTGTACAGCGTCCGTACCACACCGCCTGCTGGAGAAAGCGCGGAGCTGCTGCGCACAGTGCTGTAGCTTCCTCGCACTGACACCGCCCGAACGCCACCAGAACGGCCGGTGCCGGGCCGGCTGGCCGGCGTGGACGCTGCAGCTGCCCCGCCCACAGGTGACGCCGTGGCACCAGGGTTGGAGGCGCTCGGCGGCGTCGGGCGACCGGAGAAAAGGGCTGCCACGCCTGCCACGGCCTCTGCACATTTCGTGATCATTGGGAATTTGTTGAGTTGTGGCAAGAGTGAGTAACCTGGGGAGCAGGTGTCCCCAAAATTACAGCGAAGGGCAACCTGGAGCTATTTTGCCCAACGCAGAGTTTGGAGGGGGTCCCACCCACCTGCGAGGGACGGACTACGCAGCACCTCGCTGCTTGGTTCATCGTCGTGACCACCGCCCGCAGATGACAGGGAGGAGGAGCCGCCGATTGAGTCGGAGGACGCGCTCAGGCCCGGGACAGGCTGCCGCTGCCGCCTCCCAAGAGCCTGGGGAGATCCATTCTTGGGGCTTGCCACAGAGAAGCGCGCCGCGGCCGTCACAGCCGCCGCCGCCACCGCTGCGGCTGCGACAGCGGCAGATGTGTCCGCCTGGGCAGGGAAGATGCCCTCGCCACTGCCGGAGGGGCCCGCAGGTGAAGCTGGCGCAACCGCGGCCGAGCTGCCGCCCCCCTCTTGTGCCAGGACGCCGGTGTGCTCTGTGGTGGGACGGAAGCTCTGCCCTGCTGGTGCTGCTGCCGCTGCGGGGCCGCCCACTGACGCACACACGTCGACCGGCCCCACCCCTGCCACTGCTGCATCCTGTGTTGCTGGCTGGGGCTCTGCGGCCGCGGCAGCTATTACCTGCAAACACCTGTTGCCAAGACCTGCGGCTTCGTCCGAGCTGCGAGGGGCAGCAGAGGCCGCACCGACCGCCAGCATTGCCGGGTGCTGCGGGCTGCCCGGTGGTGCTCGCCCCGCTGTGGAGGCACCTGTCGACGACACCCGCGCGCCACTGGCACCGCCCACCTCAGACTCTCTCCGTTCAGCTGCGGCAGTGGGGGCCTGCGGCGATGCTGGGCCAGCGACGTATTGAGCCCCTTCCCAGGCGCGCACCGTCACGCCTGGCTGCTGCTGTGCAGCAGCCGGGGCGCTGGATCCACCCTGCGGCGCGGCCGTGTCACCCCCTGAGCTCTGTGAGAGGCGGGAGCGGCGGCTTCCTGTGGCCGCCGAGTCCCTTCCTGGTGACGGGGACGGGCCGGCTGTGGCCGCTGGTGCTTGCTGCTGTTGCTGCTGCTGCTGCTGGCCCCCCGGCTGCTGCCCCCCCGGCTGCTGCCCCCCCGGCTGCTGCTGCTGCTGCTGCTGCTGCTGCTGCTGCTGCTGCTCTTGAGCTAAATGTGCTGGCTGTCCCCACTCATGGCCATCCTGCCCATGCAGCGGAGCACCCAGTGCAGCTGCCGGCTGCGGCACTGGCACCTCATGCCCGCTGGCGGGCGGTAGCCGAGTTGCGTCGTGAAGCATCTGCTGCATACGCGCCAGCTGCCATGACAGGCGGTGGGCAAGGGAACCGGGCGGTTGGTTCAGACAGCTGCATGGTCAAACCCGACGATTGCAACAATGAATCCTCGCACGAAAAACAGCCAGCCATGCTGCAGCAGCCCTGAGCAAGGCCCACCCCCGCGCAACACACGCACACGATCGTGCGCGGGCTCACACAAGCACACCCATGCACACGCGTGCACAACGCGCACCTCCGCCCTGAGACGCGCCACCTCAGCGTGAAGCTCACGGGCCGTAGCATCAGGCGGGGACCAGCTCGCCACAGCCACCACTGACGGCGGCGGCGCCAGTGCCGCTGATGCCAGGGTACCCCCCTCCATCGGCGCAGGCTGACACCGCTGCCACTCCAACCACTGACCAGCCGCCTGGCCAGGCGAGGGCGGCGCACCCTCGGCCGCAGCGGCCTGACCCGCACTGCCAGGGCGGCGGGCGCACGGGGCGCTGCCCCGCCAGTCAGGCGAAGGAGCCACCACTATGCGCTGGAGCGGCCGCGGCGGGGAGCCCAGGCCGGCGCTGCGCCCCGCGCCTGCATCCGGAGCGTGCAGCGCGCTGGCCGCTGCGTCGAGCGCTGCCGCCAGGCCGCTGACCGCATGCGCAGACTGCCGAAGCGACCAGCGCAGGGGGTCGTCTGGCTGTGGCGACGCGCCGGCGTCTAAGCCGGGCCCTGGGCTCCCTGTGGCGCCGGCCCCGCCCCCACCACCACTGCCGCGCATGACGGCGGCTTCAGCGGTGGCGATGGCGGCCGCGGCAGCGTTGATGGCGCAGCGCCCCGTGTCAAGGGACTCGCGCAGCACGTCACGCGGCCGGCCAGGGGAAAACGCGCCGCCACCACACTGGACCAAGTGGCGTGGTGACAGGGCATAGGGGCCACCCAACAGCGCCGGCAGAGATGATGTGCTTGCCACGCCACCAGAGGCGGCGCCCTGCGCTACGTGCCCCAGCCGCCATGCTCCTGCAGCAGCGCCCTCCCCTCTGTCAGCGGCTGTGGCCCGCTCGACACGCACGGGCGATCCCAGGCGGACACCGTCAGCCCTTGCACCGTCCTCGCTGACCTCGTCCGCATACCGCTGGCAGTGCGGCTCGTAGGGCTGGTCGGCGCCCTGCTGCTGCCTGCTTGCCCCCTGGCTGTCAGCCCATTGACTCTCGCGCGGGACCCCCGGGGATTGCGACGCCGCCGCGCCGCCCGTGGTGCTGCTCACCACCGGACTGCCATACGGCCGCAGGCCCCAAGGGCTAGGCCGCGGCCGCGGCTCTGCCTCGTCGCTCGGGGCGGAGCCGACTGCCGCCTCGCATGGTGCGGCGCCAGCGCTGCTGCTGCTGCCTGGCCGCGCATACCTCAGGCCGGCCGGCCCCGCGGCGTCCGCCCCTTGCTGCAGCGGCTGGGACAAGCCGTGCAGTGTAACGGGGCTGCCGCCGCCCCCGCGTCCTTCATACCAGGGCAGCGTGGGGGGCCCCGACGACGGCCGCACCGCTGTCATGCCCCTGCTGCCACCAATGGCGTCACCTCCAGGCGACGGCTGCGAGCGCCGCATGTCAGTGCTGGCGGCACTGAGCTGCTGGTGGTGATGGGGCGGCAGCGACAGCGGCGGCGGGCAGCGTGCGTCCGCCGCCCATCCGAGGGGCACGAGGCCGCTGGGGTGGCGCTCGAGCTGGCGCGCCGGCTCCAGGTCGGCCGCCAAGGAGTAGGTGGTCAGCGGCAGGCGGCCGGGCTCCGTGGAGCGCACCTCATAGCAGCGGCTGACGGGCTGGCCTGCAGCACAGGAAGGGGCGGGGCGAGTGGCCGTCTGCCGAGCCCGGTATGCCACTGCACCAGAGACTCTGCGCACCCTCGATGGTCAACAGCCCCGCCTCCCCTGTCGACACCTGGCTGAACCTGCACTTGAACGGTTTCGCCTGGCCAACCAAGCCGCTGCCCACCTTCCGGGCACAGTAGCAGCAGGAAGCTGCCGTCCTCCTGGTGCGCCCTGTCCAGCAGGGTGGAGGCGTAGTAGTACTTGAGGCAGGCAGCGGCCACCAGGGGGTGCAGCGGTGAGTCGGGGCCCTTGACCCACATGCCCACCAGCGGCGTCGTGTGCACCTGCAGGGGCAGGGGCAGGGGCGCGGCCTCGAGCGACACCATCCAGCAGTGCAGACGGTAACGCGACCTTCTGAAATGCAGAGCGTAGCACCGTGATGGCAGCCGCTGCGAGCAACAACTCACGTTGACCAACTGTGTCTTGTCCCTGCACTCAATCCGCTCCTCCCCCGTGTTTTCCCACCCCAATGCCCAAACCCGGCCTCACGTTCTCATCAGCCGCCTCCAGTGGCACCAGGCTGCGGGCCTGGTCCAAGGACAGGAACCCCGTGGATCCGGGGGCCATGCGCCCCGGCCGCAGGAGAGCCTCCGCCAGCGGCGTCGAGCACAGGCGCTTTGTAAACAAGGGCGTGATGAGCACGCCACAGCCTGGCAGGGCGATGCGGCCCAGAAGCATGGGCGCTGCACGTGTGCCCGACGCCGGCGCGGCGCAGAGGCTGAGCGCGATGACCTGCAGGGGGCGGCCGGGTGGCTGGGCGTGGCAACAGCAGCTAGTGGCATGGACCAGCAAGCCAGTCCGCTGCGCCACGGTCAACTCTCGCAGCTTGGCAAGCACAGCGTGTGCATGGCTGCGTTGTCCCCCTGCGCGCTGCAGCCCACCCGTCCCCGCCGCATATTCCAAGCAAGCACATGCCGTTGTGGGCGATCGCACCTCTGAGATGCGCGCCGCCCCCTGTGTCTCCAGCCCTGCCGCCAGCCGGGCTGACAGCGCCTGGTCCCCGCCGCCTGCGCTCTCCAGCACCACCCGGTCCCCCACACCCTCGGCACCGCCGTCACTGCCCACATCATGGACCAGCGCGCACGTCACCCGTGCAACCTCGCCGCCGCTGTGCGGCTGCGCCGTGGCCGCTGCAGACAGGAGCGGGTCAGCGGGCTGCAGCAGCGCCGCCAGCTGGAAGGTGGACGTTGTCGAAAAGCTGAGCCTCAGCTGCACGCCGCCGCCCGCGCCGCTGGCCAGTGAGCCGGCGATGCAGGAGAGTGCGGACGCCGATATGGATGCATGTGGCAGCAGGTCCTGTGGAGGGGCCGGGACGGCGCACGTGGTCTGAGGGCGCGCCCATCTCTGGCCGGCCCAACGTAAGTGGGTGGTATTACGTGCACGCTGCTCATCAATCTGCTGCGGCTGGCGATTTCGATACAACGCGCAGCTGCCAAGCCACAGAGGTCCAGGAGTGTCTGGAAACCCAACCTGTCTCGCGCAGGCCCAACGTGGCCCCTCACTGCTTCGCACCTGCCCACTGACCAGCACCTGGGGGCCTGCTGGCGTTCGGTCCCACAAATACCTTCTGCTGGAAGGAAACCGCAGGCCACGCACACTAGCAGAGTATGCAGAAACATGCTTGGGAGCCGCGTTGGCACCGCCACTGCTCGCACCCCATGCAGACGATGCGGCGCTGCGCGGGCGCTCAGCGTCGCTTCTGTGTGCAATGGAGCCGGGTGGTGCAGCCCCGGGCCCCCTGCTGGTCGCATGATCAATTGAAGCTGAAAGACCACATGTCTGAGCAGGAAAGAAAGCCGATTGTGATTGCATGTCCCTCCGTGCCAGGATCGGATCACAGTGGATGGTGCGTTCGCGGCCAGATCACAGGTGTACGCCAGCCAATCCCATTATATATCAGTGTTGTATTATGTGCTATTTTGCCGCCGCTCGAGCAAGCGCTTCAGGTCAAGCGCACATTTGAACGGACGCGAAAAGACTTGTTGATGCAGATGGACCTGAATGAAAATTGTGGAAGGCATAGGTCGTTGTATGATATTGGGACCGCTGCGCCACTGCAGGTACGGCTATGCCACCGCACATGCGGGCGCCCCAGCCCCAGGGTGCGGTGGCACCCATGAACCCACCAGTGGTAAAGAGCCATCTTTTGCCATCTTACCTCTCAATTGAGGGAGGGCAACCTATGAAATTTGGCAATAACAGTTGTGCTGAGTTGGAGGTGAGCTACGTGATTGAGGACCCACTGACAGGAGCTCTGCAGTAAGATGATAGAACGGCTGACGGCTGCACGGGGCAGCCCAGCCGTCCTGCCGCATTCGTCTGCAATGAACGGTCAGATAAAGAACGTCCGATACGGCTGGCAGCCTCTGAATCACGTAGCAAACTGTGCAATGTCTGGCTGCAAGCCCTTGACAAGCCGGTAGCATCAAGATTTATGGAATTGCCAACCTGTTACGGACCCGCTGCCACCCTGCCGAGCTTTCGCGGTTGCTTCAGCAGCTTTTGATGCACCTCTGGGGCCGAAATGTTGCTGATCAGGACATGTGACTGCAACTACATGCAAAAAAAATGATCCGAAGAGGTATGCATTGTGAAAGTGAGCAGCAGCGGTACAACGCCTGTACGCTCCATAATCGGCATCAAAAACGCACCCTTTGCAAGGGACATGCACAGCAGCCGTCTCCAATCTGCGTCCCCTGCAAATCAAACACTGCAGCAGCCGCATTACTTGGCGCGCAAGTGCTGCTCGCAGAACGCCTCCAGCAGCGGCACCATCCGCGCCGACAGGTGTGGCATCCTGCGCGTGCAAGATGCCCGCCATGGAGAAACGAGCTCGTCAGTCATGGGCCCGCTCGCTCACGCGAGCCGCTCTTCCTGCCACTGTGCTTGGGGGCCAAGAGCGGAGCTGCACAAACGCATCACTGTTGCGACTGGTCACTGGCACAACTACACCTCGCCCACTCTGCCATGCCCGCAGCACTCCCATACCCGCCCGTACACGCGCGCTGAATCCACACCTGTATGTGATGAGGCCATAGCAGGGCCGCCCTGTTACGGTGGGCTCCGCCACCAGACACAGCGCGGCACCCTCGCTGTCCTCAGGGTCGGTGTCCCCCATGGTCCGGCCATACACCAGCGGGGGGTGGTGCCGGTGAACCTTGGGAGGTCAGGTGGTTTCAGTAGGTGTAAGAGAACCAGGGGCTGTGTTTTGTGGTTCATCAAGTAGCAAACACGGCAGACTGCCCAGCGTCCACCAGCAACAGCAGGCTCCCAGCCCGCACAGCTGGCGCTGACGTGGTGCATGGCGCGCCTGCTGTGCATCCTGCACTATGCTGCCCACCTCATAGCGCCGACCGCCGACTTTCATGCCGCTGGTAATGGCGTCTGATCGGTCCGCCATCAAACGAGACAGCGGCTGGAGCTCAGACGGGTCAACCTGCGCCGCATGCGATGCAGGCGCAAATACCCTCCCATCAGCCCTGCCTGTTGGCCTGCCACACATGGTGCCATGTGTGCCGGCGTCGTAATGCCCCACAAGTGCAGTCCTAAAGATGTACTGCTGGCACGGATGGCTGCGCTGTGTACAGTGCACATGAGTGCGCAGTGCATGTGCTCAAGCACGCTGTCACACCATGGATGCAGGGAGCATTGCGCGTCGTCGCACAACCAACGCCAAAGGCTCGCCTTGAAGCTGGATGCCAGAACCCGGCCAGAGTCGTCAAAGAACACATATGTGTGTGCGTCAGCCAGGTCTGCGCGCACGCTCTCGCCTAGCTGCTGCAGCGTGTCCGTGCTCGCCGTCATGGCTGCTGCCGCCGCTGCTGCCGCGCCACTACCTTGACTGGATGTTTTATATTCGACACAATTGTCAGCGCGGACGATAGTAGTGCACTCGCCCAACCGAACAAACCAGGCCGACCGTGATCGTGCTTTTGATATGGTTGTAAGGAGGAAGAAAGCGGTTGATGCCGTAGGCACCAAAAGCGCGCGGATAGCACTGGCTGCAGGGGGAACGGGGCTCTGAACTGGCTTTGGGGTTGAGTGAAGGGAGGGGCCAGACACTGCACCTGCCACAATCCCATCCGAGTTACTGCTGCATGCACCCCGCACCTTACGGTACCTTTGCCTTTGTCATCCAGACGGCATGGTGTGTGACTATGCGGGCCGCACCTTTCAGCCGATGTTAGGCCAGGTGTGTGTCCATGTGAACATGTGCATGCATGTGTGTTTTTACAGCTCACCGAGAAGGAAGGCACACTGGCTGGAGGGCACCGAGCAAGACACCCGCACCCAAAAGGCACTCGTGGACTAAAGCCTCGGCTGGTGTAAGGGCTGCGAGTGCCTCCGGCAGGGAGTCCTCGCTGGCCGACCTGCCCCGCTCGTCGCTCGCACTTCCACCGCAGTTGCCCACTAGCTTGTGCGCGCGCTGCAGGTGGTCGAGCGTGGCCAGGCCGATCGTCACAGCGCCGACAGCGAGCTCACCCCGGTCGCCATCCCGGGGCCCCGCCCTGTCGCCATGGCGTCGCCATCCCAGCACCCGCAGTCGCTGCTTCACGTACCGCAGCTCAGCGCGCTCCACCTTGGTGAGCGCGTGCTGCTTGCTCGTGTGCTTGCCGCACATGCGATCCACCTCTGCTGCAGCGGCGCGGCGCTCAGCGCGCAGGTGCAGCAGCTCCTCCTCGCGCCGAAGTAGCCGCTGCACCTCGCGCGTGCACCGCGCAGGCCCACCCTCACCGCCCGTCAAGGCTGCTGCTGGGTCGCTGCTGTTTCTGCTGCTGGAGCTATCACACAGCAAACCCCCGGCGCCGCTGCCCCTGCCTGGTGCCACGGGCTCCGTGGGCTGGTCGAGCTGGATGTGCCTATGCAAATCTTGAGACTGAACGGGCTCCTCCTGCTGCTGCTGCTGCTGCTGCCGCCGCCGCAGATGGCACATCTTCCAGTGCTTGAGTAGCAGCGGGGCCGCATGGTGAAGCTGGCGGGGCGCAAAGCAGCTGCCGTTTTCGGACAATGCCTCCAACTCATCCCAGATCACACTGTGCAGCCGCGTACTGTCGTCTCTGCATAGCTGCCGCACCTGCCGCTGCTGACCAGGTGATGACCCGGATGCACCACGCGCCCCCGCTGCAACAGCCGCTCGACCAACATCCAGTAGTTGCTGTTGTGGCGGCTGCGGCAGCAGCGTCAACGGGGAAGTGTGCATAGCACGTGCACTAGGAAAGACGTTCTCCTGGCCCCACACCAATCCTGCAGGGTGCCATGCAACGTCCTGCAAGCGCTGCTCACGCTTCAATGGCTCCTCGTGCACCTGCCACCACGCATCCTGCTGCTGCTGCTGCTGCTGCTGCTGCTGCTGCTGCTGCTGCTGCTGCTGCTGCTGCTGCTGCTGCGGCTCACGCTGCTGCTGCTGCTGCTGCTGCTGCTGCTCACGCTGCTGCTGCTCACGCTGCTCACGCTGCTGCTCATGCTGCTGCTGCTGTCGTCGCAGCTCCTGCCACGGCGGTTCGTGTTGCTGCGGCTTTTTGTGCTGGGGCTCCTGCCGCTCCTGCTCATCCCCCTGTTCCTGCTGCCGCGGTGCTGCCTGTGGCTTCTCTCTGCGCTGCTGCGCCTCTTGCAGCGCCCGCAGGCGCTCCTGCACCAGAGGAGCCACCAGCAACGCCGCCACCACCTCAGGGGCTGCCCTTTCAGTGGTCGAAACCCGCGAGTCCAGCTGCCGCAGCACCGCCAGGAGTGCTCCGCCCTCGGTGCTGCCTTCGTCACCACCACCGCGCGCATCACCACCGCCCCGTTGCTCCAGGAGTGCTGCATGCCGCGGCAGCAGGCGCCTTAGCAGGCCCAGGCAGTGTAGCAGCAGCAGCGACGGCGCCGCTGCGCCATACGCCAGCAGGCAATCTGCCTCTAAGCGCAAGCGCGCAGCCGGGAGGGCCGCCACCGCGTCGCCGGCCCCCCGCATGGCTGCTGCTGTGGCTGCCTCAATGGTAAGGCCTGGGTTGGCAGTGTGGGGTTGGGGTCAGCGACAGGCAGGAGGAGCCGCGAGAGTTGCAGGCGTCAAACAGCAAACCTGCCGCCATCAATGCCCGCACCACCGGCGGACGAGCGGCCGCTACCCCGCCCAACTCACACCTGCCCGTGCCGCCACCCTGATGCCCCGCAACACGCGCGCGGGGTCGTGCGCGAATGACGCCACAGGGGCGGCGCACGCGCGCAGCAGGCGGTGGCCCAGGTCGTGTGCCCCTCCCGTGTAGTCGTACACCAGGTTTGACAGCGGGTCCCACAGCAGTGCATTGACCGTGAAGTCGCGGCCTGGGGGCCAGAGAGGGGAGGCGGGAAAGGGGGCAACAGGGGGTTCGGGGGTCGAAAGCGTTGGAGGAGGGGGGCTGGGAGGTGGACATGCGGCAGTCTCCCCTCTCGACCAGTGGCCAACAGCGGTTAGCGACCGGTGCCGGACGCGCTGCGCAAAACAGCTGTTGCAGTGCTTGACCGACCAGCCAGGCGGCTAGAAGGCAACCTGAGGGTTGAAAGCGGTGATGCTGTTGTGCGCAAAAGGCTCAGGCGCACCTGCAGCGTTGGCACGGCGCGCCACAGCCCAGGACGGGCCTCGCCCCGAGCCCCGGCTGGGTGCGTCGTGCGGCGGCGGCGCACGCTGATGTCCCTAGAGGAGCCAAGACAGTTGCAACAGGCGCGCTCGTCAGAACAGCATCGCGTGGTTGGTGTCAGCCCTCACCCAAATCGATACATACAGGCTCTGGAAACCCCATTTGCACCGTCGCTTGACAATCATTTTGTCCCATCCCGTCCAGCAAGGCGCATACCTGGCCGCGTCCTGGCCCTGGATGGCACCGCCCCAGCAGCTGGGCCGCGTCTGCCGGCAGCAGGGCCGGGTCTGCATTGGTGGCGAAGCTGCCGACATCAAGCTTGCAGCCCGCCACCTCAGCTTGCACCACGGGGTGGCGGTGGCCGATAATGGCGCTGCCCGGGAACAGGTCCCGCACCTCCCTGGGGGACGCTGATGTCAGCAGATCATAGTCCTGCGGTGCGGGTGGGAGAGGCATAGGCAGCTCTGAGTGGGGCTGAGGACGGCAGGAACGCGCAGTGGCTGTTTCAATCTCCCAAGGTGCAGGGCCGCAAACTGTATGACATCAGACTGCAGTGCCCGATATTCGCAGCTGCGGCAGCAAGCTGCTTCATCAGGGATTTGCGGCGGGCAGCAGAGGCGCCCACCTTTGGCCGGCGGCCGAGGAGCAGATCGCGCACAGTGCCGCCAACAACAAACGCCTCATGTCCTGAAGGATGGGTACAAAATGCACACAAACAATGAACCACAACAAACTTGGTGCCTTCATCTCCATCGATTCATACAGCGCAGGGTCGGTTGCACACCGCACAGCTTCGCAGCGCCATTTCGGAAGACACTTGCGTCCCGCCTTCCCCCCCAACAAAACCGCGTGACACTCGCACCGCTGCTGCGGAGCCGCTGCACGGCCTGCAGGACGCCGAGGCCTAAACAGCTGGCACTAAGAGGATGCTGATCATCCTCCAGAATCACTGCTTCTGGTGCTGCTCTGCACGGTCCATTGTTAATGCCCGCGTTGCCACTGCAGCTGCGGGTTCCGCTCGCCACGCCGCCGAACCGGTCGCCATATCGGCACGCAGCACGCAGCAGCAGTGTCACAGCGGTGGCGCGCATGCCAATGTGTTGCAGACTAACACGCGATGCGGTGCACCCACGCTGTCATGCTGCCTCACACTCTACAGTATGCAAAGGACCCAGGCGAAGTTGAGCAGAGGTGGATGGCAAACACTTTTTCAAACGGGTAACAGTCAACTCGGAGGTATACATGTGTGCATCAATATCCGATTGCAAGCTGTCAGGGTCCCTGGCTGAACAGATCACAAGCGACGACTTTGCCGATCTGTTGCGTTTTTCGGCATGGCAGGCTCACTGCCAGCCGCTGGGCCGGCCATAGCTAAGCTGGTGGATTCTGGATACTCCAAGCAAGGTGTGGGAGCGGTTTCTTGGCACCGATCAGCGGGTCCGGCGCGTCGCACATGCGTCAACAGCTCGTGCTGCGCAGTTTTCTTCTTCTCTTCCGGCGGTCCAGCTACGTTGCAGCAATCGGCATACATCGTCATACTGTGCAGAGCTGAGTCGCGTCGAAAACAGGCAGCCACCCCTTCTTTCAGTGGGGTGGTTGCCAACTGTGTCCCCTGCTCGAGCCCGCGACTGCTGCCACGCCTCGGCACAACCTGCGATGCAGAGGGCGAGCTGCCTATCGATATCAACTACCAGAAGCTGGCAGAATGGCTGGTGAGTGGCATGGCGAGCAGTGGGTGGCCATCAAGGCGGTTCGTGGGTTTGGGGCGAGGCTGCTGCATGCAAGAGGAAAGGAAGAAACAACCGCAGCAGCACAGGTCCAGTGGGGTGCGCTGCGCTGCCTCGCCTTGCCAGACCCGCCCACCAGATAACACCCACCCCCCCTGCCACGTGTCACCTGCCGCACTCGGCAGGTAACGCGCAAGAAGATGGCGTCTGACTGGCACAAGCGCGTGGCGGCCATCCAGGCCAAGGTGGCGGAGGCCGCGAAGGTCCTGCCCCCCGGCCTCCTGGCCTCGCTGCCGGGCGGCGCCGACGCCCCCATCGACTACTTCCGGGCGGTCATGATCCGCGACAGGCTGGCGGAGGGCGGGGAGCGCACGCTGTTTGGCGGGCTGGCGGGGGCGGCGGGGCTGTGGGACAGCATCGTGAAGGCCTACGAGAAGCAGAGTGAGCGGCGGCAGGGTTAAGGGGGTTTGTGCGCAGGCACTTGGGGTGGGGCGTGCAGCAAAGGGGCAAGCGGCGCAGGAGGGGAGCTGGCAGAGAACTGGCGGCCGCTCTGCAGTTGTGCAACTCACGGCGGCTGCGGCTGCAGCCGCCCCCAAACCTCTGCTTGATCTCCCGACCCGGCAAAATCGCACCCTGGTGGTCCGCCCCTGCGCCCCCCCCCCTCCCGCGCCCTGTCTTGCCCCCCTCCAGACGTGTTCATGGGTGAGGCTGCCTCCAGCATGGTGTCCAATGTGGACTACGAGCTGCCATACCTGCGCAAACAGACCACACGGTGCGCGCCCAGGGCCGTGGGTGGGGACACTGTCGGGCCGTCTCAGGGGGGGGTTGGCGGGAGCGAGATGCAGCGACAACTTACGCAGTCTCCTTACAAGATTGCTCAGCTCAGCTCAGCGGCGTCATGACTGGGTCCATCGGGACTAACCCATCACCACTGGATGACGTTGGTGTCAACTGCACGTCGTACTACCCAGCGCCACTCATGACACCCCACGTGACCCCCTCTTCCTCCCCCGCTCCCTGCTTGCGCCACACCCCATACCACACCTCACCTGACACCCCGCCCTGCACCTCAAAGGTACGTCCAGCTGATAGCTGATGGGGAGCGCAAGGCGGGGGAGTACGTGAAGGGTGCAGCCACCGCAGCCAACAACTTCAAGCAGGTGGGGGGTTGGAGGCGGGGCACCACTGCAGAGTGTTGGCACAGACAGGTTCAGCTTGCTTGTGTTGCCGGCGCGATTCACCTGGGTATTTCTGACTTGTTTGGAGCCAACAGTGTCGCGCTCACACTGCTGACTGCTTCACTACTGGCCAGGCTGCTCCCTGCTGTGCCCTGTTCTGATGACCTGCACAACAGCGGCCACCCAAGCTTGTGCCCATCCCCACCCTACCCTCAGGAGTGTGCGCGCCTGGGCATCCAGGGAGTCAACGTGCGCTCAGAGCTGTTGCAGCTGGGCCAGCAGCTTCCTGCCAGATTCCGGGCCATCGTGGAGGAGCTGAGGGGGCAGCAGCTGGGGGCCGCAGTGGACTACTACGCGGCCTTCATCTCATATGCACACACACCAGAGGGCGGCGCCAAGCCAGCCGCTGACGTGCTGCCGACCCTCACAGAGATACGTGAGGGGCGCACCGCGCCACCGGAGGACGGGGACGCACAGGCGGCCAGCACAGCGGCTGAGGGCGGCAGCGGTGGGCACGCCGGCGGCGCGGTTGAGATTGACTGGGATGCGGCGCTGGCCGGCGGCGGCGGCGGCGAGGACGGAGCTGTGGGGGTGGAGGGGGCGGCTGTGGGAGCGGGTGGCATTGACTGGGACCTGGACCTGTCAGACCTGGTGGTGGCGGCAGACGGCGGCGGCGAGGGGCAGGGGGAGGGGGAGGCCGAGGATCAGGGGGCAGGCGCGGCCGCGGCGGAGGTTGCCAACGGTGGCCCCTCCATCAGTTGGGACATTGAGCTCACTGAGGCCGCAGCGGAGGACGCCGCCGCAGCAGCAGCGCCAGCACTAGGCACAACCACTGCCGCCCCGGGGCCCTCGGAGGCTGCCGGCCCCTCCGCGCATGGGGAGGGCGGGGAGGCGGCGGAGGACGCGTCGGTGCTGCGGCTGGCTGCGTCTGGCGAGTACCGCGCTCTGCTGCTGGACGACCTCCACGAGGCCAGGGCATTCCTCAGGCAGCGCGCGGCAGAGCTCGGAGGGGGCGGCGGGGGCGGCGGCGGCGGGGGCGGCGCGGACCTCCTCAACGCGCTGCTGCCGCCGGCGATCGCGGCCGTCGACGCGCGTGGGGCGGGGCGGCTGCTGGCGGCGGTGGAGGGAGCCCTGGCGGCGCTGAACGACGCGGGGCTGCGGCAGCTGCTGCTGATTGGTGGCAGTGCGCGCTACCTGGACCGGCTGGCGCGGGAGCTGGCGCGCAAGGCGGGGCAGGAGGCCAAGCTGCTGGCCGCGGCGCGAGAGGCGGACGCGCGCCGCCACGAGAGCCGGGCGGCCATGGCGGCGCTGGCGCCGCGCGCGTCGGCGCTGGCAGAGCGGACGCGGGCGGCGCAGCGCGCGGTGGAGGGGGCGCTCTCGGCTCAGCTGGGGCGGCGTGTCAACGTGCTGGGGGAGATCAACAATGCGCTCGCTGCTGCATCTGCGGCAGCAAAGCAGCAACATCAGCCGCAATAGCACAGCAGCAGCAGCAGCAGCAGCAGCAGCAGCAGCAGCAGCAGCATGTATACCAGCTACATGCGCTTGGTGATTGGCGCCACCATTAGCCGTCAGACCTAGGCCCTCTTCTTGGTTCAGGCACTCAAACCATGGCCACACCTGCCATGCTCACCCATTTGCTTCTCCTGGGTGTCCTTTGTCAATTCAGTAAAGGGGTCGACAGCCACAACAGCCAGGCCTTGACCGTGTGGTAAACCCCCCTGAGGCGCTGCACCGCACCCATGACAGCAGCACCGTGTTACATACAAATGTGTTTGGGGTCATAGCTCAAGAGGAGGACGCCATTACAGCGGGGTGGCTCACGCCACCGAAAAAGGTCACTGCAGCTCAGGCTCCAAAGCACTCTTCTCCCGGGCTCCGCCACGGTCGCAAAGAATGTCAGAGTGGTGCCTTGACCCGCAGCTCGCCCATCGCCAGCAGGCGGCGATGAACCAGCAGCGCTTCAGGTGGTGTACTGCGCAGGGGACGAGGTAGGGATGGCATACGTGATACTGACATTCAGCTTGCGAAGTAGAGGGATCGCACATAGTGTGGTGTGTGCCAACTCTTCGTTGCTGGTCATGACCGCATGTATGGCCCAACCGTGAGCCAAAGCAGACCCCGAACCCTGCAGCTCCCATCCTCCCAGATGGGCATCCCCTCATCGCGCGTATCCTCCCGCCGCCCACCTCGCCGTTGATCTTCACGTAGTCGTACGACAGGTCACAGCCCCACGCAACACCTGGTGAAGAGGGGGGAACCCAGGCAGGCTGGTGGTTACAGCAGATGGCACCGAGTTGCTGCAGCAGTCCGCCTGTCGAGCGCACTCACTCATATTCTCAAACACAACCAAGGTCACAATCAGGCATGCCTTGCAATCAATACAAGCATAGCGCTGCCGCACACCTCCGCTCCTCACCGGTGCCGGGGCCCTTGCCAATGCCCACATAGATGAAGACCGTGCCGTGGACCTTGGTAATGTCCTTCAGGTACTTGCTGGCC